GACCCAAAGTTGCTCAGTTTTAAAAAGCTCGATTTATCTCAACATGGCTTTTCAGATGAAAAAATTGATTATCGTCATTGCAACAGAAGGTAATGAAACAGGTTAAAGCGAAATCGCCATCAGAACTGTATTTTACTGTTCTTGGCTTGGTCTCTACACAACGGGCAATATATGCAGTTCATCCAAACACAATAAACAAACATTTCTCAGTCGCAAATAGTATGTGGCATTGGTGTAGTATAATGTTGCGGAACATATCAACGATCAACGTTTTTTCAACTGCACAAGACACAAGCACACCAACACCAGTACTTTTATGTGTTGGTGGAGTACTGTATCACAACAAAGATCGCAGATGCGAGTTTATTATTAAAAACAAATTCAGCAAAATGAATAAAGTGCATTCACTTCAATACAGGTTTTCATTTTGCTGCAGACGAAAAATATACGCACAAACTATTTGAATAATATTGAAACATTCACTGAACATTACATGACAGTTTACATTATCATATAAAATGCCAATAAAATGTGCGGTTTGGAAGATTTGTTTCACTGAATCGTAGCATAACTCTCATCCTAAATAATTTCTGTAATAACTGTTGACACTTACCGATACCAAAATTCCTTGGTCTTTTTTCAAACAGAGGGTTTACAACCTTTTTGGGGGCTACAACTTTTGCAGCATAGGGGGCTGGGGCCACCTTTTTGCCTTTGCCGGTCTTTTTAACTTTAGGCTGTGAAAATAAAATTGAATACAAAGTAGTGGGAAAGCATTATGATCCACGTTTCTTAAATTGGGATGCTATGCTAGAATTCGCTGTTGATTTTGTAGCCTACATTCGTGGCAAAGCAGTTCGATACATGTGTAAATCCACCAATGGTTGTTATAAAAACAAGCTCTCAAATCAACACAAATTGTCATTTTAATGTTACAATATACAATATATTGGTAAAGTGCATCCTTGATAACTCATTTTGACTACTAAATGCGTTATCTCAATAGAGATGGGAGAGATTCAACTGGATATATTTTCTATCGTCAAATATTATTCACCCACCATCTTGGAGGCAGCCTAGAAAAGAGACCAAAACACGTTTCGTGTCGCGAGATTTCACGAGACTTCGGACTAAGGATCATGGGAAAACAAAGACATGGAAATGGCTTCCCGGAAGTGATTGCCGATTGTTCGATCACAGCAAAAGAAGGTAAGTGTTTGCCTTTTAATTGGGAGTAAAACCGACAGGTAATAATTTGTAGGAACAAAGGCAATTAGTCGCGTGCGAATAGAAACTCCATTTTCTTTATCAAGAGTTCCGGAAATCTAGGGTTCATAATCAAGCAGATGACCTTTCCGCGTCTGTCGTTTATTGTGACTTTTACCACAGTCGTGAGATCCTCTATGATAGAGGGACTGTGCTTTTAAAAAAAATTATCGAAATATTTAAACACCCCATTTCATATGATCTTGCTTTTCAGTATTAGGAAATGGCAGGCAAACAGAGAATTGGAACAATTCCACAGAGTAAAGACACTCTTTTGAAGTCTTACAATAGAAGACTGAAGGATGACGTAAAATCCATGCTTGACAACTTTACAGAAATAGTAAGGCTCAGTAAGGTAAGCTTTCCATTAAGATTTCCAGCTCATTTGCATATTCAATATTATTATGCATCTTCATTGGTTGAGTGTATACTGGAGTTCTAGTGGGCGCTTTACTGGTTTAGTTCAAGCAGGTAGGCCACTATCCCTGTGTACAGTCCTGTAGATTCGGTCCAAATGATCAGCCCACAAGACTGTACTCATGGGTGGTAAGTCACCAAAATTCTGTTTACTGTATTTGGTCTTTTAGAAGCTCAAATAAACCAAAAATCGCATTAGTTGTCACTGAATTATTACAATATGACTTAATTTGACCATAGAAATACCCCTGTTATTTATGTAAGTGTATGTGCTACTAATAGAGCAATTATGGTACTTTTAATATTTCATTTATATTCTGACTACTGATAATCAAATTGCTCTTCAGGCTACCTTTATACATGTATGGTGGTGGTATGGGGACTATGGTAGCATTGCAAGTACTCAGGAACTGGATAGTATTATATATTTCTTCATTTTAATTAAACCCAAATTGTCTGCTATTGGTGGTTCAGAAAGAATAATTGAGGTTAACACCAATCTCTGCTTATTAGCCTCTGTGTGCCATTTGTTAGCAATTTAGCGAAGTGAGTCAGAAGTAGTTTCTTTTCTTATACTGTAAAGGGGGTAATTATTCACTGGGTTTTAATTTAGCTTATTTCGCTGACTGGAAAAATGCGCTAAATTAAAACACAGTGAATATGTAAAATTTAGCATAGAACACATTATCTAAATGATGAATCCGTGAATTTAAAACCCACTGAATATGCCTGAAATGGTAAATCAGTGAAATTTAAACCCAGTGAATATTAGTCATTTTACAGTATTACTGTATTTGCTCTGATGGAAGTACATCCTGAATAGAAGTGCACATATTAAAATCAAAATTTGCTTTTTTCATGATATCTAGTGGATCTTTAAAATATGTAAGACCATGGAAACAACTCTTTTTTTTGTGATAGTGCATTATTAATAAATGCGGCATTGGGGGCATAGAATGCAAACTGTGGGGAAGGCAGAATACACAAAGTGAGCACACCTATTTGCTGACACCACATTGGGTGTATTACTGGTAAAAAATACAACATAGATAGTTTTGAATTTTATTATTATTATTCTTAGTATTATTATACTTATTAGTATTAGTAAAAAATTATAACATATTACATTTTACTTTTATACTTAATATTTTTTTTATTATATCATTATTATTATTATTATTATAATTCTACTTTTATTGCTACTGTACTGATAGAAATACTGTATTTCTAAAGATGCAATAAATAATATTATTATTATTATTATTATTGATGTGTTTTTTTAGCTCAAACAAAAATAATTTTTGTTCTTCACTATCGTACTTTCTGACGTTTTTATTGTTGCAATTTTGCATACCAGTAACATGGTAGAATGAGGAAATATATTGTTTTCTGTTTCAGAAGATGTTTTGTCAATCTCAATAAACCTTTAATACATGCAGTCACAAGCATCAGTTAATAAATGTTAAACTTATGTCTTATTGTTGTGGTATTGAATAATATCAATATGAAAAAAATTAAAACAGTGTCACCACATAAAAAGCAAAATCTTTTTTTAAGTTTTGGCTTTAACAAAGATGTATGCAAGTAGTATCAAAAGAATGAGAAATCTTGTTTGATCTGGTTGTGTTGTCAAGTTTATTAATCACATAAATATTTTCTTTGATTTATCAGGCTGACAATGAAAGCCAGGTATCAAGACTAACTCAAGCTGAGCAAGATGAAAATGAAATGCACACCAGAGCAGCTAATGTGGTGAGTTCATTTTATATTACAATTCACTAAAATCTGTCTAAAACCTAAACTAACTTGCAGTTACTGTTATTTCATATACTGGTACATATCATTTTTGAAAATTGTATTTCAACTGATTTAATATTATTGGATGAAGTTGATATCATTCCTCTCTGATAGCTGATCCAAAAATCGAGAGAAATAAAAATGCAACAATTAAAATGGAATGTTGAGTATTTGTGGTACTAATTCGGAATAGGAACAAAAGTATTTTAAAATAATCTTTAATGCAGTGCTGGCAAATGTCTGACAGGGCTGGTAAAATTTGATAGTTACCTGCCCTGCTTTCTAGTACACAATTTTAAAAAATTTCCCATCACTGCTTGCTGTAAGCATAGACCTTCTAAAGTGGGTCTATGCTGTAAGCCATATTTTCGAATTAATATTTTTCGTATTTTAAACCAATAAAAAAATTTTCGATAAACAATGAATAATTCTAGGTCAGGAAAAAACATAAAATGTGTTGACTCATTTGGTATCTCAAAGTTAATGTTGGTTTTCTATTACATGGATTAGAAAAAATTGGTGAATCAAGCCCTTTGAATGAACGTTGAGTCAAACATGTTAAATCTATTAAAGCCAAAATATTGTACACCAATAATGCTAACAGTTTGCTGCTAGATGTTTATTCAATGATAATTTAGGTTTTCTGTTATTTTGCTGATTGAGAATTTATTTATGGTTTTGTAATTTATTGTAATGCATGGTGGCCACTGACAATGTGTTTAATTGAGCTTTGTTACCATTTCAGGTACGTGCTGGTGAATCTTTGATGAAACTAATATCTGACATTAAGCAATTCTTGATCCTTAATGACTTTCCGTCTGTCAATGACTCCATCGCACAAAGAACAAGATATTTGAAGAACACACATGACGATTACGACCATAAGCTGATGGCGTTGCGGGATGACCTCGCGGTCGATTTGTATGAGATTGAGGAGGAGTACTACACATCGAGATACAAATGAAATTACCTTTCTGTATTTGAACCAAGGAAACAATTTGTTTATCTCTCCAGCATAAGACACACCCAGATGTTATGGTTGTTAAAAAAGAAGGGAATTAACAGGAATCCCTTGAACTGTTTTGTAATAGAATTTATTGTCTGAGTTAGGCCAGGGTAATCTTGTTTCACAGCATGGTATTTTACTTTGAAATACACAGATGGAAGTGAACTGGCAGGAATCCTTTGAATTGTTTTGTAATAAACTTTATTATCAAAGTAAGGCCAGGGTAATCTTGTTCTGCAGCATTTAATAAGATACCTGTACACACACATGTTATTGCCATGGAATATTGATAGAAGGGAATTAACAGGAATCCCTTGAACTGTTTTGTAATAAACTATATTGTCTGAGTTTGAGTTAAGCCAGGATAATATTTTTTCTTTCACAGAATGGTATTTTACTCTGAAATACACAGATGTTATTTCCATTGAACTGGCAGGATTCTTTTAAACTATTTTGTAATAAGCTATGTTGTCTAAGTAAGACTGGGGTGATCTCGTTCTGTCGCATTTACTCAGATATACAGATGTTATTGCCATGGAATATCAAAAGAAAGGAACTGAAAGGAATCTCTAGAATTAGTAACTGGTTGCATCAATCTCTGCTATGCTATGATCAATATTGTCATTGCATGGTCTTTATGTACACTTTGCTTTTCTTACGTTATCAAATACAGGCAAATGACATTGTCATAACGGAGAACATCAAAGACCTTGCAGGAAAATGATATATTTTTACCAGCATATTCAACAAAATTAAAGTTTAAAGTGTTGGGAAATTTACAATAACAAAAACATTTTAAATTTACCAAAGCTAGCTAAACACGTTACTAAAGGTGTGAAGAGATACATTGTGTAAGGCTGTGCAAATATGATTACCGTTCTTCGTAATTTCCGTGCTCACATCAATCAAACTTTCTCTGACCAATAGCAGCTTATAGCCATGGTTATTTTTCCGTAACCAAGGACACAAAATTACAATGTTTGAATGATCACTAACATGACTCAAAATGGGGTTTATTTTTTTCTTGTGAAAAAGACTTGCTCAGATGTTGTAAATTATATTTAGTCATTGAAATGAATTTACTCCCTTTTTCCAAATGAATTAGTTCAAAAGATGACTAGTGAATAAAGTAGCTGTTATTTTTGTAACGTTTTTTGTCTAAGAAATAAAAAATGGACGATTTTATATTAATTTTACTCAAATTGAAACTTTGGATTGATCATTAGTGGTATCTTTTTTTACTGTATTCAAATAATGAAAAAAAGAAGGAATCAGTGAACTTAATTGATGAGGGCGCTGTCATTACCAGATTGCAGATAAGTGGTATTTATTACATTTCATTGTTTCACAGATGACGACCGTGTCGATGCTCGTGCCAAAATGTAATACAATCAGCTTCACAAGTTCTACACATTTTACGTATAAAAACTTAATCATTTAAATTATTTAATACATAATAAAACAAGCTTAGGGAGTCATTTGCTCTGGCACAATAACTACGAACTTGGGCAGTCATTTCTGGCAACATGGCGGTGAAAATCGAAAAGTTTACATCAGAAGATCGTGGTCGAGGCTACAGAACAGTAACCCGGGTGAAAGTAGGCGAACTGGTATTGAAAGCACAACCGTTTGTACATGTTTTATGTAACACTGAACGCGGAAATAGATGCGATTTTTGTCTACGCAGGTTTGTAAATACAGTAACCTCTTTCCGGGTTAATCTTGAAATCTGCGTGAGTTTCATTTGGACCCCTCACCCATAACACCAATCCTAACCCACAGGGGCTTGACGATCTATTCGTCTCAATGCGTGGACGTCTATGGGGCTGTGGGACTATGGGCAGAGCTCCAGAAGGAGTACCTACACTTTATGCAATTTTTTTAAAAATTATGCTAATTTATTCATGACGTAGTAGTTTCTGTGCTCATGAATATTCATTAATTTGTGGGTCAATACATTTTAAAAGGGGCGATATATTATTTTTGGGGGAAGAGTTAGAAAGGGGGATCAGCAATCCTTAGGGGGTCAATACAAAAGAAGGGACCCATTTGGAGAGCAGCCATGCTCCTCGTGTCTGTTGTTGCACGTGACCTTCAGCTGTCAACTGTGTTCGTTCTTCGACTGTGTTCGTTCTTCGACGACTTCGACTGGCTTCCATGTGGGGTAGTATTCTTGTGTTCTGTTTTCCTGACTTGAATTTTTGAATCCGCTGTTTATATTTTTAACGTCTTTCATGTCTTTTGTAGGAGTGTCCAATCCATCCAATTCGAACTTGCGATCTTTGAGTTCCCAGCGCACTGTCTTGTCCACTGTACCACGAGTGTCTTCACACGAGAGATAGGATTTAAGTCCTATTCATAGGAGCAATGTCTTCACTAGCATTCAAAAATCTAACTAAACATACTGGATTCGAACCAGCGTTCGCTCACATTGCTGACATAGTACAAATCAACTGAGCTATGTTGGTAGTCATGCAAATTGAATAATTTGTTGTCATATTTAGCTTTATTGCCAAATAGTGTTTGCGAGAAAAAGATGGGCAGGCAAGGGAACTGAACCCGGGTCCTCCTGATCACTATGTAGAGAACAGCCCCACAAGACCACGATCGATTGATTGACTAGTTTTGTTTGCATTTGATGAACCTATATAGTGTGTATATATCTAGAAATACCACATATTTCTATTATTGAGTTTCAATTGTCCAAAAAATTGGCAATTTTGTGTTTTTGCTTGTGTAAACTATATACATGGCATAACCCGTTAGTGTACATTTTGCCAATTGGGTGTTTGCCATCTGCGTTGCCCATACCTGACCCGACCCTAACCCTAATGCCAAGACACGTTCCTGTTAATAATTGCTCAATAATGATACTCTGTTGTGCACTGTCTGTGAGTAAGTTTCATTGCTGTCAACTGATTAAACAAGTTGCGTTTAAGCAATTTCCACTATTAACAAGTGGTTAAATTGTGAGACTAAATAAGTGGACACTATATTTGAGACTGATTTTGGTGTAGACAACTCTCGTTTAATTAATTTCAACCATTAACAAGTGGTTAAATTGTGACACTAAATGTGTGGACATAATTTGAACTTATTTGGGTGTAGACACAGTGTTTAATTAATTGTCACCATTGC